ACAGCACTTACTATATATCCATCCGATGACAATGGACTCGAAGAAGCAAAACCATAGCAAACACAGACCCGACGCCCCGTAATAATCAAAGAGTTGAAAGACATACATTCCTCCCTATCGTATAATTATAATGTTATTACATTTTAATCCACAGAAATAAACATCGATATAGACAATGGATTCGACACTAACTCTGGTAACCATTAATAAGCCGATTAAATACGAGACAAAACAAGTGCCAAATATAAACCATTCGCGTCTTTTGCCGTAACGTAAATACTGTGGATATATATCGACCACAGATGTGATGAATCCCTCGACACCAACGAACTGAGAGCCCAAACCCAACAGCATTATCATCACAAAGAAAAGTATGGCCCAAATGGTAGAGCCGGGCATTTGGGCCACCGCTCGAGGATAGGCAATGAAGGCCAGTCCCGGCCCGGACTCTGCCACCTGACCCACAGTGAGTCCCTGTTCGTGAGCCATAAAGCCCAACACCGAGAATATGGCGAACCCGGCGTACATTGAGGTCCCGGAGTTCATACAACACAGGAAGAATAGTTGACTGCAAAATATATAATCGGTATTTAAATAATAACATAAAAATGTTAAGATAATTGAATTACTCACTGATAGAAATCGTTATGAAAGTCATTATAACTGCCGAGTGCTGTCATACATCCCAACGCTATGGCGTACGAGAAGAATATCTGAGTGCCGGCGTCTATCCACACCTGGGGGTCACTCAGACGACTAATGTCTGGCAATAAGTAAAACTATTACGGTAGCGGTCGCGGCCCTTCACATTGCGGAGATTACTTATCGCGACAGTAGTGTTTCATACCCTTATATCGCCATTGTATCCGACGGAAAGGGCAGCTAAACTACGGGGCGGTTTACGTCTTAAAACATAATATCCACGCAATCAATAGAGTTAACGCTAATTCCCATTGAAGACCATTCGGGTGATCAATACCTTCGCTTATCTTAATGTTACAAATAAATTATTTTAACTAAAGTACTATAATTACTATTAAAACACTTTGGAAATCCTAATTTAATTCTAATAAAGTGAAATTATAAATAGTACTCATAGCAGCAACAATAATAATAATAAATTTAACTAAATTCTTCAGTTTTAGATTCATCATGTGCATTGATCAATTGACTGAATACTGCACTTTAAATGTTATACAATATACTATCAATTCTGTTTACAGTTATGTAACAAATAAAACATTTTGTCAATAAATAGAAAGCTTTAATAAAAATCATATTACGTTAAACCCACATAAAATCTACTGCTGTATAAGATTATCTCAATAAAAATAGCTCTAGGTCTCTTATTACTATTTTGCAAAAACACAAGTAAACAGTTTAGCAAAATAGTCAACATGTGTTTAACAAATCAATATTTGCTAATAAGTAACATCTTTAGCAAAAAGAATCCACAAAAACAGTGAATTGAGATTAATTACAAATGTAAATGTATACCTGGATGATTTTTCTTTCCCAGAATTCAATGACAGAATTAACAGAGTGTTCATTGGCTGTGGTATTGCTGTTGGGTGACCAGCATTGGGCAGTATTCCACGCATTATCGCACGTAGACCAGGGAAGGACCCACGAAAATGAAATCATATCCATATCCTCCCGGGTTGAATACTACTGTTGCATTATCGTCAACTCATATTTACTCTGGTGATAACACGGCTACGGATACGGGAATTTGTACCCTGTTTACTCAACGGTTTGTCTATATGCGCCGTTTCGGAAGTATTGTCCCTAGCGGCAGAGGTCCTTATCATGCCCTTAAGGCGGTTTTTAGTCCTTATAACACATACCTTACTCCTTTCGCGGATCTTTAGTGTCCAAACAAAATAATTAATTTCCGAGCACCAGTACTAAAAAATATTCCAAAATATTTTAATTACTTTTTAATGTCTATATCAATATTTGTTTAATTGAATTTATATATAGAAACGAATATAAATAATATTAATTATATAATTTTCTTATTTAATGGTCTGTTAAGTATTTTTTGTTAATTAATTTTTTGTTTGTTAGATAACGCAAAATATGCTAATACTCTATATTATATATGTAAAAACAAATACAATCCATTATAACCGATAAACCCATTTGATTGCTATTAATTGCAGCTAAATATGGCATTAAATTAATCAAATGAAATATTTTGTCTAACTGTTGCGCAACTCAACGGCTTGTTATCTAATTTACAGTAAACACTGTTTGAAATGTTTATTTAGTGTACAAATCAAATAATTAGCACAACATTTGACGAAAGACATATTATTAACGCATCGGTACTATAATTGAGCAATTTGTTAGCATTGATATCAAGTGTTAATTAGATATAATAACTTATTATTTATTAGATTGCATGACATAAACAAATGGTACTTATTATCAAATTCTCATTAACACCACAAATACTTGTGTTAAAAATCAATTTTAAAAAATAAAATATTTTATGTGTTAAATACATCGGTATTTACACCTAATATGCACTTAATATTACTTTACTTAACAAAGTAAGTCGTAAGCCTTGAATTTTATTAAATATTACAACTAATTGTTGAGTAAATAATGTTCAATAAATTAGTTAATCACATGTAAGTTGACTAAACGAAATAAATAGTATTTACTTTTTAGACATTATTTTATTTTTTATATATTTGATTCTTGTATTTGGGATTTTCTTTCAATGTGAAATACATATTAATTTTAACCTTCTAACCAAACACATCCTAGACTTTTTGATATTTGAGTTTCAAACTCTCGGTAAAAATCAGTCTTAAGAGTCAGTGCAAAAAAAATTCAGGAATGCCTCAATCAAACATTTGAGAAAATAATAGATTAACCAAAACTATATTATCACATCTAGTGTCCGAGTAATTGATTTTCAAAGAGAGGTCACTCCAAAAAGTCTACCAGTGTTGTAGACATGTAACTTTTATCGCTCTTAACATTTCAGTGCTTTTTCTGGAGAGCAGAGCAGTGAATGCAGTGTCATATCCCTTCCAAGCACTATCTTTCCACTTCACTGTATTAACTTTTTGAAAACGATGTCAAAACTAAGCATACGTGGGTACACCGCTATGCATAGCGTACCTTCCGCTTCACTAACGCTCTGTGCTATTAGTGCGCAAATGCTATCACACGTGACTCCATAGAGTTACAGCAACAGTAAATTGTTACACGCATACAACACTGGAACGAAAACGTTCCGATGCAGGTACTGCCACCGCTATGCATTGATAGTTGTGTGTGTTGAGTGCTATGTATTGAGTGTTTGTGTTATGTATTGAGTATTAGAGTTCACAATACAGATGTAGTGTAACACAACACTCACGTTATGTTTGCGAGTAATAGTATGTATGTGTATAATATATCTATCTATGTCTGTAAATTGTAATTAACTAATGCAATGTGAGCACTGAAACAAATACAGTACACTTAGGTTATGTTTAATATATTTGGGAGTAATTGAAAATAAACTAATATCTAATGTGTATAATATATCTGTGCATGTCTGTTGATTGTAAATAACTAATGCATTGTGAGCTATGAAACGAATACAATACACTTACGTTGTGTTTAATATGTTTGTGAGTTATTGTGAGTCATAGAGTTTGACCACTAGGTTTGGGGTTTTGGTTTGGCCTATGGGTTAGGACTGGGCTTTTGGTGTAGGCAGGTTGGGCGTACGACAGGGAGTACGGGTTAGGTTTGGGCACTGGGTGTGGGCTATGGTTGGGTGTACGCTTTATACTTTTATAAATATATCGATGCATGTCTGTAAATTGTAAATAACTAATGCAATGTGAGCTATAAAACAAATACAGTAGACTTACGTTATGTTTCATTTGTTTTTGAGTTATTGAAAATAAACTAATACTAAACGTGTAATATATCGATGCATGTCTGTAAATTGTAAATAACTAATGCAATGTGAGCTATAAAACAAATACAGTAGACTTACGTTATGTTTCATTTGTTTTTGAGTTATTGAAAATAAACTAATACTAAACGTGTATAATATATCTATGCATGTCTGTACATTGTATAAAACTAATGCAATGTGAGCTATAAAACAAATACAGTAGACTTACGTTATGTTTCATTTGTTTTCGAGTTATTGAAAATAAATTAATATCTAACGTGTATAATATATCTATGCATGTCTGTACATTGTAAAAAACATTGTAATGCAATGTGAGCTCTGAAAGTTTATGTCATGTGAATGCAATACAAAGTATACAAACTCTCAATAACATTTCATTTGATTATAGATGACACAAATTATATAGATATGTACAGCCATGTAAAATTTATTGATTACGTTACACTCGATAAAAACAGATACAGTACACTCACGCTATGTTTCATATGTTAGATAGTTAGAAATAAATTAATAACTCATGAGTATAATATATTTAGACATTACTGTAGACATAAATAGTATGCAATGTATGAATGGTAAAGGAGTTTTTATATAACTGTATAGGTAATGCATTTTAACCATAAATAACGCTATTATTATATAACCCCCATATTCTTATTTAAATAAGAAAATGGGGGTTTTGTTCAACATAATTGATTAATGTTTATTAAAATCATATACAAATTTTATCTAATGTAAACACGTGTTGTTTTTAGTAATCAAAACTGAATTGAAATTAAATTATCATTTAATTAATTTGTAGAAATGAGTCGAAAACAAGTGCTATCACAACAACAAATTGAGGATTTGTTGGACAACGAAGAGGCCGATGACGTGTCCAGCGCTGATGAATGCGATGACATCAATGAAAGCGATCACTCGACAGATACTGAACAATGTGGTAACAGTGATGGCGATGAACAAGATTTACAAGACATTTCGTCAAACATTACGTCATCGCAATCTACTAAATACAGATCTCATAATATAATTCGTGAAGAATGCCGTCCAGTAATATCGAAAGGTTACCGTCTGTTATTAATGTGTGATAAATTGGCTAAATAGTGATGACTTTACTGAGTTAGTTAGCAATGCGTATGTTTGGCTCTTTATTACTATTCTTCATCATTTATATTATTTACCGTTAGTAATATTTATGATACAAATGCTGAGGAAATTCAAGCCCTAATTGGTCTCTTATTACTGGCCGGTGTTTACAAGTCGGGCAATGAGAATGTCAAAGAATTGTGGTCAACAACTGGCTCTGGAAGAGATATATTTAGAGCTGTTATGCCTTTGCCTAGATTTGAGTTTTTGTTACTATGTTTGCGTTTTGACAATCGTGAAACCCGTGATCAAAACGATAAATTATCGCCAATTAGACAATTGTACACAAAATTTAACTACAATTGTAAAACAAATTATATTCTCTCTGAATACGTGACAATCGATGAACAATTGCGAGCATTTCGTGGGAAATGTCCATTTCGCCAGTATATGCCTATGAAACCGGCAAAGTATGGCATTAAGATATTCATGTTATGTGATGCCATTTCGAGTTATATGTGGACATCAGAGGTCTATTTAGGAAAACAACCAAATGCGACTAAAAATATGAACATATCGTCAGATATTGTGCTTCGATTGATCAGTGATTTAAAACACACTGGTCGTAATATTACTGCCGATAATTGGTTCACATCTTTCCCATTAATCGATGAATTGTTGACTCACGGCTTAACATATGTGGGAACAATTAAAGCAAATAAAAAAGAAATTCCTAAATATTATTTGAATCTTAAAAACAGAGAAGTATTTACTATTAACCCCATATTTGTTATTTAAATAACAAATATGGGGTCTTAATTAAACCCTGAAATTAATTTGATTATTTGTTAACTATTTTTAGATGAACTCCTTTTTATTTCAACTGACAGAAAACAAATTATTATTGTCTTATATTCCAAAGAAAAGGAAAGTAAAGAAAGTGGTATTAGTGTTGAGTTCATTGCACAATACAGTTGACATTCGCGATGACAATGGCAAACCTGAGATCATTGATAAATGCTACTAAAAATATGAACATATCGTCAGATATTGTGCTCCGATTGACCAGTGATTTAAAACATACTGGACGTAATATTACTGCCGATAACTGGTTCACATCTTTCCCATTAGTCGATGAATTGTTGACTCACGGCTTAACATATGTGGGAACAATTAAAGCAAATAAAAAAGAAATTCCTAAATATTATTTGAATCTCAAAAACAGAGAAGTATTTATTGTTAACCCCATATTTGTTATTTAAATAACAAATATGGGGTTGTAATTAAAACTGATATTAATTGTATTATTTATTAACTATTTTCAGATGAACTCTTTTTTATTTCAAGTGACAGAAAACAAAATATTATTGTCTTATATTCCAAAGAAAAAAAAACTAAAGAAAGTGGTATTAGTGTTGAGTTCATTGCACAATACAGTTGACATTCGCGATGACAATGGCAAACCTGAGATCATTGACTTTTACAACAAAACAAAAAGCGGTGTCGATAATTTAGATCATCTCAGTGTTTTGTTTACATGCGGCCGAGCGACCCGTCGGTGGCCAATGTGTATATTTTTTGACATATTAGACATTTCTTGTATTAATAGTTATGTTATATATAAACACTATTT